TACTAAGTGATAGATCTCATAAACAAACAAACAAACAAATAAATAAATAAATAACACTATCTTAATTATTCATAACTTTGTTTTGGCTTCATCTTTTTTTTTTTTTTTCATGTTTGCTTTCTTTACTCGTAGCTTTTCTGCAAAGAAAGCTCATAAATTCCAGAGATTTCTAAATAGAAACAAAGCTGTGTTGTCACGTTCAAATTTCTCAGACAACTCTTTTTGGTTGTTTACATGTGGACATGTTTCTGAAAGACTGCTGATATTCAAAATGCTACAGCTCCCTTGAGGGAAATATCAGGCGAGCTGTCACAGAATTCAGATATTACCCTGCCTAGCTTTGATCTGATATATGCTCAATGGGAACTTTAGACCATCTCCAGAGTTCTAGCTTAGCAGGGATGAAATGTAATTCCTATTCCTGAGGGCACAATATGTCTTAGGCACCCAGAAAGGCTTGTTTTTCGAAGTCCCATATTTTCTGTCATCTTACCATGGCTAATCTTAAATTACTTTAAAGTAATAAGACTTATATTTTAACAGAGTCAACGTTTACTAATCTCCTTTCAACTGAAGAGTTTTTCTTATGACCCTTCAACAAAATCAGATGTTCTGATGTTCTCAAATCTTTCACCCAGTTACAGGGCAGGCATCATCAATACTATTTTTTGGCATGAGATACATAGTCACGATATTTTACACTGTTTTACATGAGAGTGGCTGTCTAGTCAATTTCCTAAGAGCATGAGCAAGTGAACTCCAAGAATCAGTTCTAAATTCAGCTTTCACCTGCTTCTGCAAAGCCTGTTTGGACATTCTTACAAATCTGTGAACGGATTGAAGGGGAAAAGAACAGATACCTTCATTTTTGATAAAAGTAACTGCAGCACAAGTAGCCAGAATTTCTCTAAATGGATGACTCTCTTGCTCCTCTTTCATGCTGCTTTAACCTTTTAATACAATCCCAGAATGCAATGTAGTTTCTCTATTAAAACATATAATCTACAACACGACACCATTTTTGCTTTTTTTGAAATTTTTCTGGAAATCTTTATCAGCTATATTTCTCCAAGACTTGGAACATTTTTGTTCTGAAGACTGCAGCTTATTGGGTACCATTAAAAGGAGTCGTAGGAGTGACTTGTTTTTATGCATTTCAAAGCCAACACACATATAACACTACTTTGAGATATTTCCCAGAAAACTACTATGAGAATGATTAAACTCCTCTGAGGTGGGAACTGCCTTGTGTTCTGCTTTTGGTATAGCCTCTGTTGGACTTACCAGCACCTCCCATAAGACAAACAACAAATAATAACTCTAATGCTCCAGCGGTGATATTTATAGAAGATCGACACCGTGTTGCCTGGTACTTCAAGGACAAAAATTGTCTAATGACTGACCGCAACACAATATTGCTTCATTCTAACCTTTCAGCTTAAATTTCACAATCACAAAAAAGATTGGGCTTGTGCAGCCCAGGGCCTGTGTTTGTCCAAAAGCAATGCAATAGTTGACAGTGTTGCTGCACAAGTGGTAATAATAAAGGTTATAACACTACTCCCCTGTCAAGCAGACTGGGAAGAGCTCATACTTTCTTTGGTTCTCCTGATCCAGTCTGCCTGGCTGCTAATTCAAAATGTAGTTGTGTATCAGTTTACATTACGAAAGTCGTATCTGAAAAGTCATGAACACTTCCTTCCTAAACAGGAGTGCAGACTTGGGATACCTGTGCAAGTGCACAGAACAGATCACAGAATCATAGAATCACAGAAATAAAGATCATCCAGTTCCAGCCCCTGCTATGTGCAGGGTCACCAACCAGCAGCCCAGGCTGCCCAGAGCCACATCCAGCCTGCCTGCAGGGATGGGCATCCACAGCCTCCTTGGGCAACCTGTTCCAGTGCCTCACCACCCTCTGATGAAAAACTTCCTCCTAATATCCAACCTAAACCTCCCCTGTCTCACTTTAAAACCATTCCTCTTTGTCCTATCACTGTCCACTCTCGTAAACAGACATTCCACCTCCTGTTTATACGCTCCCTTCAAATACTGGAAATTCACAATGAGCACTCCCTGGAGCCTTCTCTTCTCCAAGCTAAGCAGTTCCCTCAGCCTTTCCTCACACAGAGCTGCTCCAGCCCTCTGCTCATCTCAGTGCCTCCTCTGGACCCGCTCCCAGAGCTCCACATCCTTCCTGTGCTGGGGGCCCCAGGCCTGGACGCAGCGCTGCAGATGGGGCCTCACAGGAGCCGAGCAGAGGGGGACGATCACCTCCCTCTCCTGCTGGCCGCCCCTTTTTCATGCAGCCCAGAACACAGCTGGCCTTGCGGGCTGCAGGCGCACACTGCTGCCTCATGGCCAGCTTCTCGCCCACCAGGACCCCAAGTCCTTCTGCGCAGGGCTGCTCTCAAGGAGATCTTCCCCAAGTCTATATAAAAATACCTGGGATTGCCCTGACCCAAGTGCAGCACCTTGCACTTGTTCTTATTGAAGCTCATTGGGTTCACATGGGCCCACTTCTCCAGCCTGTCCAGGTCTAAACCAAAGGATGTCTGGATCTCCAACTCCTGTAGATTTATCACAAATGTTGAAATGCAGTATGCATCAGTGCTTTACTTCAGGACAGAAGCGTGTTTTGTAATAATACTTCCCATTGTCCTTCCTTCAGTTCACATTTGTAGCAATCTCCAGACACACAGACTCTGCTTTTTCCTGGTGGACCAAAACTGAAAGATGCACCATAATTTCTACTACTTGAATAAGCTGAAGCTGCTCTAAAGACAAGCCCTTTGAAATGCATTCAATAGTTGATTGCTTCTAGAGATTCTTTCCTCTAGATTTGCTCTGTATCAGTAATGTATAGATACAATCATTGCACCAGTCACTTGCCTAGTCTCCAAGATTTTTCCACATCACATCAACACGAAAAAATCAAGTGATTCTCACAGTATACCACATTTTAAATAAAATAAAAATAAATTCGACCTCACATTAGGTTTTGGAAAGGAAGGAGAGAAAAGAATGGAAAAAATGAAAGAAATTAGGATGCTTCTGTCTGCTATTTCGTTGATTATTTAGATTGGGAACCTGAGAGGATGGAGACAATACATCTCCAAAGACACTGAGGGTCAACAGTTCATTTCTTGGGGACTAAAAGCAGTAAACATTTTTCAATTGGCAGCAGCATTCATCAGAATGAGCCACTGATTCTTTCCATTAACATCAGGCACTCTGCCAGTAAGTGCAAGGATGCATTTCACAGATTGTACTTCTAGTTTATCGGGGTGTTTTGGGCAACATCCTGATTGATTAGGTAAAGTATGAAAGAGTATCAGGGAGAGTTTTTCATTTCACTGATAACCCTCTATGTATTCAGGTTACCTATAAAAAAAATAGGGGTTCATCAAAAGGATGTATCTTCACAGCCCTTGAAACAATCATTTGAGCTCGAAAACCTCTCTTAATGAGTTCATCCAACATGCAAGAGCTCTATGGACTTTCTGTTGACTCCAAACCATCAGAAGTTGCTCTCTTCCTCTTTTCACAGGAGCAATACAGTCCTTCACTACTGCAGAATTTTCACAGTGCCCAGAAATAGGAGTATCTGCACCTTCTCATCTGCAATCTTAATTAAACACAAGTATTTACGAAGGCCAACAAACCAAACTGCTTTCAATGCATCTATAATCCAATTTGGTTTTTGTTTGTTTGTTTGCTTGTTTTTCCTGAAATATTTAAATTCCAGACTCTTACTTTCACTGATTTTCAAAACATGGTATTTTATGAGGTTACTCACAGGAAGAAATACTAAAGCCTGGCTTCCTACATACCTCACTCCTTTCCCTCCATGCCACCCTTGTATTCTCCATCTCCAAGCCTCACCAATACAATGAATAATATAACAATATTCCTTTTCCAATATCTACCACTATGCCAACAGATCTGCTTCAATCTCACAACTAGTTCCTTCTCACATCTTGTACATGCCAACATTGTTGTTCCTAATATCGTCAGTGCAAGATGCCAACATTTTTGATCTTAGCCACTGAAGCACTTGAACAATACATCATTGCCCAACTCACAACCTTTTATGCTTTATCTGCTTAGCTTTCTTTCTGTGCAAGATACGTCATTGTTATTGGAAGTAAAATACTTGCGTAGTGCTTCACAGGCTTATCCAAACAGGTAAGGGCAGAGCTTGATCAACACTTCCCTTTTTGGAATGCACAATTTACAAATTTTGACAAATTTACAAATGCACCAACATTCCATAGAGGAATGTGTCTGAAATTGATCCATCATGCTTAAAACTTACCAGATGGCAAAGAATTAACACAGACTTCAGTCTAGGCAGCAGGACTGACTATTTCAAATCAGGCCAATATGCTTATTTTGTATTAAAGTGAAGCAATTAGGTAAAAGTCCATTAAAACCATCTCTTATTACTCTTAAGTGGGGCTGGGCTTTAAACAGATGGAGATGCCAAAAACGTGCTAATGGTTGAATAGAGATTCCAAAGTGTGAAAGAAAAAAAAAAAAAGTCCTCTAGGACACAACTCCAGACTGCCTCAGTCTATAATTATTATAAATAAATATCTTTATTCTATCTCTATTCATATTCTTGACTTCTAAAATCTCTCATCTGGAACAGATTGCTCAAGGACTTGCAAGAGGAAACCCTGAAAATACTATGTGTTCTTTGTACAGGAGGCATTTTCACAAAATTTAAATGGCTTTAAAAATAAAGTGCCTTGAAATTTCAGGAAACTGTCAATAGAAAGGATCGTCTCCATTAAAAAGGAAGTCAGAGTTGCAGAAGTCAGACTGCAACTAGCAACTCATGAGCCAAAGAAATCTTGTAGCATATAAACCCACTTTGAGATTACGCTCAGTTTACCTGTATTAGTTCATTATAACCATTTGCCCATAATACTCTAATGTTTACGACCAATAAAAATAGCAAGAAAAGCAAATGGGAAGGTGTAAGAGGGCCTTACCTATGAGATACATGCCAATCCAGTCCCCTGCGTCCACTTCCTCCTTTATATCCCAGTATATCACTAGGTCCTGTGAGTGCCCAATGGAATAGTAGGAGCTGCTGACCATCAGGGTAGATCGGCTGTCTGAAGTGACAAGGTCTGTGTCACTGGTAGACCTGGGAATGGTGACTGTCTCATGGGAATTGTTCCTGATGTCCATGTTATGAAACTGGTCAGGGTTATAGCTGTATCTGAGCGGCTCTTTGCACCGGCGCCGATTTTGTGAGTTCCTAGATGGAGACGCCATAGCTGCCAGGCCCAGGAACCTGTTTTGGTACAGATTCTGTAGAAAGAAAAAGAGAAGGGAGTATTTACAGTATGATTCATATTTCAGCTATGTCAAAGTTCATGGAAAGTAGCACATCAGAAAGTAAAAGAGGAGCACTTGGCACTGACACAAGGCACAAAAAGGTTTAGCAGGAAACAGACATTGCTACTCCAACTTCTCCTCTTTAACTCTTACCATGAAAACAAGTGCAAAACTGAGCCGTACATCACCAAGCCCAGCTGCAATTGGCAGTGTGTGAGGAAACCAATAGCAGCTGGCTTCCTCGAAGTTAATGCACACATTTAGACACAGACATTATGACTATCAGTCTGCTAGGGAGTCATTCTCTTTAGCACCAGGAGGTTCGCTTTCTGCTTTTGACTCCTGGAGTCAGGTCTTCTTCTCACTAATTCTTATTACATTTGCAGAGGAATCTTTTTTAAAGCACAGTTGCTACATTTGCCTATTTGGTTTACGTTAGTTAAGTAAGAACTTCTCCTCCCAGCCTCAGACTGGAGGAGTTTGTGCCCCAATCCCTCATACCAAAATAAAGATGCCTTCACTGAAGTGTAAATATAAACTAAGTGTTGCAGTGTCTTTCAGTACAGCTGATGCTTCTCATGCTATTCTCTTCTCTCTTTTTTTTCTCTTTTTTTTTTCAGTAGAATGTGAATACAATGTCCATCCTCTCTGGTAGGGATTTAGGAACATACCAGCCAAATAATGGGAATGAGGAGCATGCTGAAATGCAGTCACAGCATTAGCAGGTGAAACATTATTTTTCGAAAATATCTGCCCTCCTTCCTCAAGGCAGGCCGAGTGACTCATACAAAGTGCATCATGGCATATGAGTTAATAGTTCTTGCGAGTTGTGGATGGAGAAAGCTGAATTCTGACAGGTTCCTTTTGATATAATGACATGTCCTGATACTGGTCAAAATACTAGTTATGGCTTACTTCTCTGCTGTTTGTTTCTCCACTTTTCTTCCCTGCTTTCCCTCTTATCTCCCTGCAGCTCTGCTATTTCAATCACTCAGCTTTTCATTATTCATTAGCTTTCCATTATCTATCTGTTGCCAATCATGCTGTTAAGTTCGGCAGATACAAAACCAGACAGATACAAACCTTTCCAGTACACTACGAAATGCTTTTCATGTGACCAGAAGTCAAATCAACCTTCTGAACGCAAACAAATTAAGCAGAAGAGAAATCATAGCCCTTTTGTCCAGCCAAGCAGTTATTTAACCTTGCTATTTACTAAGGCTGTGGTAGCACAGAAGAACAATACGCTCCCCAAAGTGAAATATATAGATTTTTAATAATAATAATTTTTGAAGACTAATTAAGAGGCCTATTATTCCGTTGTAGAATTCCATTGCATGGAATGTGTACAAACAGAAAAAAAAAAAATTATCCATCATGTTTTTATTCTTAGAATATGCTGTTACTTTGCAGAAACCGCCCTACAATGTTGACAATCCAATGACCCAAACCCTCGCTTACTACATTAAACTGGGTTTATAAGAAAAATAGCTCAGGCGAGGATGCCACATCATAGTGTGAGTGCTGGCAAGATGGAAGCAAACAATGTAAAAAGCTACATGAGAAATACAGAAACAGAAGGAAGGAAGCCTGCGAACAAATTTTAACCGGAGAAGTGCTGGAAACACTTCTGTGTGTGCACAACTATGGGGGCTCTCAGCAGTAATCTAAATTCATGGAACTTTCTGTCACTTTGTGGAGAAGGCATGCACTGTCACAACAGCTGAGACAGTAATGGCTGGTTTTATAACAGTGAGATAGCAACACGAAGGACTTCCAGGCTTTTCTTATGGGTTGGTCTGTACCACTAACACTGTTTCCTTTGCTCACAGAGCGCTACCTATTTTCCAAGGCAGACATATTATTTATGGTGATGGATATTTCCATTTTTGAATGTTAACGATGTAGAGTATTAATTAACTGCATAGCTTCAAATTGAATCATAATTAACAAATATCTAGTTATTTCAGCTTCACTGTGACTTAAATCCATTTTAATGACAATTCATTGATATGTTCTAGTACTGTAAGAACGCATTTTATTGTGTATTGATGCGAACAGTACAAGTAGCAAAACCAAAAAACAGTTCACAAGGATATGGTCTACAGAAACCTGAGTCTCCTTTATTTCCAGCATTGATTCCATACAAATAATCTAGAAGAAAGGAAATCCCCAAACTGGAAAAAATGTCACAGAGTTAGGACAATATGGTGACACATAATTATCTGGACTAGATGTCATGCTGATATTATAAATAATATCATACATGCATGGCTGCATTAGTAAGTAGAACAAACATCAGGACAAATAATTATTCCACATGTCGTTGCCAGTTTTGCAGCTTTTCCACACAACTCTAACAGTATCTGTGTTTGTAAAATGTGCAAGCATGCACTTTTTAGCCCTGGTGACAGAACACCAACCACACACACACACACACACACACACACACACACAAAAAAAAAAAGGCTTTAAAAAATCAAAGAAAGATCCTCTCTGTTCCTTGTGGAAGCAGTATGATCCATCATATAAACCCACTATAACAACAGAAAAGAAAAAAAAAAGGAACAGAATGAACACATTTAGCTATATTCTCATTTTTATTACACAGTGTACAATGTAAATTATAAAGCGGAGTACTGAACGGCCAAATGGTGACCCAACAGCACAACAGAACAGTCTTTCAGATCGTAAAAGGGCCTTTATAATCACATTTAGATGCATTGAGCCTATGATATGCCCAGTATGAAGTTGTTTGAAGCTGAGGGTGTCAGCAATGCCTTGGTGACCAATCTACTGCTTGCCTATTTCCTATGTCAGAGCTCATCTAGGAGAGGAAGAACAAAGTGACTCAAATGGAGTTTCAGTTCTATCAGCAGTGTTCAGTTACTTTTGTGTTCAACACCTGAAGTAACAGATACAGAGGTCTTTCCTTTGGTCTTCCTCACTTGGACTTACATAATAACATCATAGAATCACTAAGGCTAGAAAAGACCTCTAAGATCATCTAGTCCATTCGTCTACCTATCACCAATATTTCCCCACTAAACCATACCCCTTAGTACAACATTTAAAAGTCTCTCAAACACCTACAGGGACAGTGACTCAACCACCTCTCTGGACAGCCCGTTCCAGTGTCTGATCACTCTGTCAGAGAAGAAATTGTTCACAATGCCTGCCACTGGTTACAGCAGAGAAGAAGCTGACCCCCACCTCGCCACAACCTCCTTTTCAGTAGTTGCAGAGAGTGATGAGGTCTCCCCTGAGCCTCCTCTCCTCCAGACTAAACAACAAGCTCCAGATCCCTCAATGTCTTGCCTGTAGTGAGTGGCCCAAAACCCAACACACTACTCAAAATTCAGTCTCACCAGCACTGAGCACAAGGGGAAGACCTTCCCTTCCCTTCACCTCCCTGTTCCTCCTGGCAACACTATTTCTGAGGCAAGGAAGCCATTGGCCTTCTTGGCTACCAGAGCGTACCGCTGGCATAACACTGGTTGTTGTGACCAAAGTCCAGAACCTGACACTTTGTCCTGTTCAGCTTCATCCCACTGGCCTCAGTCCAGTAATCCAGCTTGTCCAGATCCCTCTGAAGGGCCTTCCTGCCATCGGGCAGGTGATTACATCTCCCGAATTTAGTGTCATCAGCCAGCTTACTGAGAGAGAATTCAATCCCCTCGTCCAGGTCATCAATAAAGATATTAAACAGGACAGACCACAGTACTGACTGTTGGACAACACTATTTGTGAGCATCCACCAGCTGGATTTAACTCCATTCACCATCACAACTAAGATTATGAAAAACTGGGTAATAGAGATCTTTTAAATTAATATCCAGTCGAAGCACAGAATTACTATTATCACTGTTGGACAACACATAGTTTCTCTACTCCTATCAGCTAAGCTAGGGTAAATTAGAATTTCCTTCAGTGAATTCACGAATTAAATTTCTTTTTCATATCAGGAGTCCTTTAGTGTACAGACAGCTCAGCAACAAGTATTTAGCCTAAAATATCAATGTGCTAATAAAAGTAGCTCTGTAAAGTCCTACTGAAAATGAGATTTTTGGAGTATTATCTGTGGGCAGAACCTGCCTCTTATTTACATTACTTGCTCCATCTGACAAACATCAGATAAAAACAAATTTTAGGGTATAACAAATTTTTCACAGCAACTCCTACCCCTAACAAGGGAAAGAAGAAAGGTGCAGTCAAAGAAAATGACAGACGAGATCTATAAAGAAAACTGATCTGAAGAAATGCATGAATAGAAAACATATGATCGTAAATACTGTGAAAAACTTCACAAATTTTACGTCCATGTTTACTTCCCTTTCATACTCACAGCTCTCTGTGCCCCACTGCTGTTTGGCGCTGCACAGCAGAGCTGTTGCAAGTGCTGCTTTTCCTTCGCAGCCCCAGAAAACTGCACCTAGAAGGTTCCATCTCCCAGATATCAGAAAAATCTTTACAGCAAATTTCTCCAAAGGATTCAGAGCTGCTACACAGCTTCTATTGGAGACCTAGAGTGTCTGAGAAGGTGAGAATGTTATTATTTGGGATTATTATGCCAGAAGGGGGGATAGGTGATGCCTTAGCAATACAGAGATAGAGCCCAACTCAGGGACACAAGGAGCCAGCTCTATCTGCCCTGTAGAAATTTCAGAACCGCCTTTCAAATACTCAGGCTCATGACCAGTTACTTGCTACCACTGCTTTGACAGAGCAGCTCTGTCTCTGCAGGTCAGAATTGTGCTGTGATAGTCTCTTACTGTCCATACAAAAGATAATGATGTGACTGAAACACAGCTGGTCGCTATAGTACTGGCAAAAGAGGAAACTACAGGGAACAAGGAGATGCTATTAGTCAGCTGACAAAAGGCTCTAACTAAGGGGTATGAAGACATTCAGATGTCTGCAACCCTGAAAACAGGATTCCAAGGGCAAGTACTGAGAAAAATATTGAGTGATGA